GTATCAGAGTAATATTCGCTTCATAAAAGGTGTCGGGAAGGTTTCCGTTCTTCTCGATGTTGTGGAATAGTTTCTGCAAGATAGGTACTAGTTCTTCTTTGTATGTATGGTAAAATTCAGGTGTGAAGCCATCTGGACCGGGACTTTTCTTTTTAGGGAGATTTTTAATTGCTGTTCCATTTCTTTCTTGTTTGTCAACATTATTTAAGCTCATCTAGAGCCTGTGTCTTTCAAGTTTTAAATTAAGTTTGTCTATTTCTATAAAAGCCTTACTGGTATTATTATAAGAATTGCATTAAACCTATAGATTAATTTGTTGAGAACTGACATTATATTGAGTCTTCTATTCCATGAACATGATTGTGTCTCTCCATTTATTTAGATTTTCATTGATTGTTTTCATCAGCATTATATAATTTTAAACATCCAGTCTTGTATATGTTTCATTAAATGTAAATCTATTATAAGTATATAATTTTTTTGGAGTAACTGTAAATAGAATGTCTTTTTAGTTTTGATTTTCATATGTTTATTGTTAATATACAAAATGTAACTGATTTTTGGGTGCCGATACTGTATCCTATGACTTTGCTGAACTCAATTATTAGTTCTAGGAATTTTTTTTTTCCATTTCCCTAAGATTTTCTATGAATATAATCATGTCATCTGCAAAATAAGACAGTTTTATTCATATTTCTGCCTTTCCAATCTGCATGCATTTTCTTTTTCTTACCTTATCAAAGTGGCTAGAACTTTCAGTGCTACGTTGGATAGCAGTAGAGCAGACATACTTGCTTTGTTTCCAGTCTTACAGGAAAAGCATTCGGGCCTTCACATTCGGTATGATGTGAGCTATAGGAACTTTGCAGATATTCTTAATCAAAGTGAGGTAATATTTCTCTATTTCTAACTTGCTGAGAGTTCTTAATAATGAAGTGGTAGACTCTGCCAAATGCTTGTTCAATTGATATGAACTCTGCCAAATGCAGCATCAATTGATATGATTAAATAATTTTTCTTCTTTAATTTGATGATGTGATAAATTACTTTGATTTTTGAATGCTGGACATGCTGTGCATAACTGAAATCAATTCCACCTGGTAACAGTATATGATGGCTTTTATACCTGACTGAATCCTATTGGTTAGTATCTTGCTGAGGGTTTCTACGCCTAACTTCATGAGAGATATTGGTTCTCTTTTACTGTACTGTCTTTGTCAGGTTTTGTTTTCAGGTTAAAACTGACCTCATAAAATAAGTTGAGAAGTATTTCCCTCTCTTGTACTTGGGAAGACAGGTAAAACTGGTGTTAATTCTTCATTAAATGTTTGGTAAAATTCTCCAGTAAAATCATCCGAGCCTAGAGATTTCTTTTTGGGGATACTTTTAATTACAAAATCAGTTTCTGAAAGGATTATGGGACTATTTAGATTATCTATTTCATTTTGGGTGAGTTTGGTTGAGTTTTGATAATGTGTGGTTTTCACGGAATGGATCTATTTCATCTAAGTCGCCAAGTTTATCAACATAAAATTGGCTGTAGCATTTCCTTATTATCCCTTAAATGGCTGCAGGACCTGTAATAATATCCTTTTTCATTCCTAATATTGGTGATTTGTGTCTTTTTATTTTGCCAGTCTTACTACAGATTTATTGATTTTATTGATGTTTTCAAAGAACCAGTTTTTTTGTTTCATAGCTTTTTAAAATTTTCTTATTTTCAACTTCATTGATTTATACTCTTACATCATTTCCTTCCTTTAGTTTCCTTTGTGTTTACTTGGCCCTTTTTGTTCTAGTTTCTTGCAGCAGGAACTTTTATTGCTGATTTGAAAACATTCCTCCTTTCTAATGTAAGAAAGTAGTGCTGTAAATTATCCTCTGAGCACTGCTCTTGAGCTAAATCTTATAGATATCTTTTATTTTCATTTTCACTCAGTTCTATGTACTTTTTTTTTTTGAGACAGAGTCTAACTTTGTTACCCAGGCTAGAGTGAGTGCCGTGGCATCAGAGTCCTAATAAAATATAAAGCAGCGAACATATAATTCTTGCAAATAGCACTGAAAACCAAAAAGTCCATCAAATGCCAAAGTCAGGAGTAATTTCTAAAAAATACCATGCAGTGGAGAAACAGAGCTGAAGAACTATATGCTTCATTATTTATTGAGAAGTTAATACTGAATTGTACCACCCTGATTCATGTTGAAGTCTAACCCTCACTGCAACTGTTATTGGAGAAAGGCCTTTAAGGAGTAATTAAGGTGAAATGAGGTCCTGGTGTGGGCCCTAATCTAATAGCACTGCGGTCCTTGTAAGAAGAGGAAGAGAGACCAGAGAGCTCTCTGTGGGTACATGGAGGAAAGGCCACATGAGGACTGGAGCCCACGGGATGAAAGAACTGCAGGCAGCCTCACCGGACCAGTGAGGGCTTCCCAGAGGTGTGATGTCCAAAGTGAATGCTGAAAGGCTAAAAGGATTTTTCAAGTACAACATAGAGATGTGTAAGAAGTGGATGGCATGTTTTTTGTTTCAAAAATGTTGTTTTCCAAAAGTTTATTTAAGCGTATGATGTATTTTAAAATTTTAAGGGGCGAGGTTTAAGACAACTCGGGCAGGGGGGATTTTTATTTTTTTGATCTGTGCGTTCTGGGGTTTTTTGTTATGGCCAATGGACATTAATTGCTCCAGCTTCATTTGTTGAAAAGGTTATCTTTCACCATGCAATTGCTTTTGCACCTTTGTAAAAAAAGTTAAGCGTATTTTGTGAGTCTATTTCTGGAATCTCTACTCTTTCCTTTGATGTATGTGTCTGTCTGCCCTTAGCCAGTACCACACTGTCTTGATTACTGTGGCACTATAGTAAGCCGCATCAGATGAGTGATTCTTCAAAAAGTTAGTATATTAGTACTTCTTCACCAGAAGTCATGGTAAATGAAATATCTCCATTTACTTATATCTTTCTAAAATATCATTAGTGAATTTAAGTATATTGTGTGCTTTTTTTAAAATCTGGGTCAATTTATCGCTCAAGAAATTAAAGGACTGCATTATTGGCTATAAACAGGTAACTAAGGTTGAGCGGCATTACCCACTACATCCTGCCATTTCTTTTGAATCTTAACTTGCAAAATAACAATTACTTATATCTATAATATTAAGAAGAGGCCAGGCGCGGTGGCTCACGCCTGTAATCCCAGCACTCTGGGAGGCTGAGACAGGCAGATTGCTCGAGGTCAGGAGTTCGAAACCAGCCTGAGCAAAAGCGAGACCCTGTCTCTACTCTAAATAGAAAGAAATTAATTGGCCAACTAATATATATAGAAAAAATTAGCCGGGCATGGTGGCACATGCCTGTAGTCCCAGCTACTCAGGAGGCTTGAGGCAGAAGGATTGCTTGAGCCCAGGAGTTTGAGGTTGTTGTGAGCTAGGCTGACACCACAGCACTCACCCTAGCCTGGGCAACAAAGCAAGACTCTGTCTCAAAAATAAATAAATAATTTTAAAAAAAAAGACTTATAGAAGACTGAATATTAATGAGCTAACAGTCCAACTTAAGATAGAAAAAGAATAGAAAAAAGAACAGTAGTAGATTCGTGAACTGCAAAACAAAGACATAATGAAGAGGATCCACAAGCTAAAATCTAGTTCTTCAGAAAGACTAAAAGAACTGACAACCTCCTGACAAAATTGGTCAAGAAAACAACCAAATGCATAAATGTATAATGTTAGGAATGAAAGCGTAGAACTTTTAGTTAAGTTTGAGTGTGTGTTGGGCAGAGATTGATTATTCCAAAGCATTACATATTTGGTCACTCTGACCATTCATTTTTACTTACCGCCAACAGAAGACACATTTATTTGCACATGCCAAGCTCGGAGTGGTTTCCATGCAGCGATGGCTTTCAATGCCATAGAATGTATGTTTATAGCAACCTCCTCTCCCTCGAAGCATTGACTATGACAAGTAAACAAATCATAATTTAAATAAAATTGTCAAAGCACAGAAACAAAGCACCAAGCCATCATTTTTAAGAAGAAACCATGTGTTTCATAACCATAAATATCCCTACTGGTATCTGCATGGTGCAGAAAATTAACATTATAGCTTTATAGTGTTTTGACAGTGCTTTGGGTTTTTTCTAAAACCCAATGAAATAAAACTATGATTCATTAACTCTGAAAGCTCTATAGGGAAAATCACTGATGCTTTCATTTCCAAATCCATCCAACTGCCTCAAATAATATTAGCACATAACATATAATGCCAGGGGACAGACAAGAGAGGCTCCTAAACAATGCAGGCAGCACTCATATGCAAGAGTATCTCTGCTTTGAATAGGGAGGTAGGTAAGAGAATGCATCCTGGACTATAATCTATGTCAGTGGAATGGGTAGAATTTGAGCATATTTGAGACAGTTGAGGGGACAAGCAGCAGATATATGAGGAATAGATTATTCCCAAAATAACACTATTTATGTGAGAGGTAAAACCATATATCATATGAGTCACATAGATCAGTAAGTATAGAAAAGAAGGTAATTTAAAGAAATAGATCAACTTAGGGTTGGAGTCAAGATAATATCAAGCTTTTCAAGGTATCCTCAGAAAGATTTGTTACAAAGCTCTGTGTAACATGGGCTTGATTTCAGTAAAAGTGGAAGCAGTGAAGCCTATGAGGAGGTTATGCAAGAGAGGCAATGATGACTGGCTCGTAAGATTACTGGAGGAAAGAGGCAGGGTACCAAGAGGCATAATCAGTGTCATTCTCCACTGAAGGGCAAAACAGAGGAAGTTGTCCAAGATAATTTATATTTTGAGGCCAAATGACTGAAATAACATGGAACTAAAAACAGCAACAATGAATAAGGAGAAAAAAAGGGGAGACACAGCTGGGTAGTCTTTACACATAGAAAGATATAGAGATATCAGTATACTAATATTATAATGTAGTCCACAATGAAAGAAAATTACGTAAAATCCTATCAGCTTAATTATTATGTCGTTTGACCATGAAGTCTTTTAACTGTTTGTTCTGATAAAAAGTTTCCCTGCTTACCTGACTTAGTACTTGCATTTGAAAAAACGAGGAGTGAAGTAAAAATACTGTTCAGCATAGCTATGCCTATAAATTCTCTTCCAAAGTCCTAATAAAATATACAAGGCAGCGAACATAACATTCAACTCTTGCAAATAGCACTGAAAACCAAAAAGTCCATCAAATGCCAAAGTCAGAGTAATTTCTAAAAAATACCATGCCAGTGGAGAAACAGAGCTGAAGAACTATATGCTTCATTATTTATTGAGAAGTTAATACTGAATTGTACCACCCCTGATTCATGTTGAAGTCCTAACCCTCACTGCAACTGTATTTGGAGAAAGGGCCTTTAAGGATGTAATTAAGGTGAAATGAGGTCCTGTGTGGGGCCCTAATCTAATAGCACTGCGGTCCTTGTAAGAAGAGGAAGAGAGACCAGAGAGCTCTCTGTGGGTACATGGAGGAAAGGCCACATGAGGACTGGAGCCCACAGGATGAAAGAACTGCAGGCAGCCTCACCGGACCAGTGAGGGCTTCCCAGAGGTGTGATGTCCAAAGTGAATGCTGAAAGGCTAAAAGGATTTTTCAAGGTACAAACATAGAGATGTGTAAGAAGTGGATGGCATGTTTTTTGTTTCAAAAATGTTGTTTTCCAAAAGTTTATTTAAGCGTATGATGTATTTTAAAATTTTTAAGGGGCGAGGTTTAAGACAACTCGGGGGCAGAGGGAATTTTTATTTTTTTGATCTGTGCGTTCTGGGGTGTTTTTGTTATGGCCAATGGACATTAATTGCTCCAGCTTCATTTGTTGAAAAGGTTATCCTTTCACCATGCAATTGCTTTTGCACCTTTCTAAAAAAAAGTTAAGCGTATTTTGTGAGTCTATTTCTGGAATCTCTACTCTTTCCTTTGATGTATGTGTCTGTCTGCCCCTTAGCCAGTACCACACTGTCTTGATTACTGTGGCACTATAGTAAGCCGCATCAGATGAGTGATTCTTCCCATTTCTTTTTTTTTTTTTTTTTGGGGGGGAGAGAATTGTGGTAACATGGGCTTGATTTCAGTAAAAGTGGAAGCAGTGAAGCCTATGAGGAGGTTATGCAAGAGAGGCAATGATGACTGGCTCGTAAGATTACTGGAGGAAAGAGGCAGGGTACCAGAGCATAATCAGTGTCATTCTCCACTGAAGGGCAAAACAGAGGAAGTTGTCCAAGATAATTTATATTTTGAGGCCAAATGACTGAAATAACATGGAACTAAAAACAGCAACAATGAATAAGGAGAAAAAAGGGGAGACACAGCTGGGTAGTCTTTACACATAGAAAGATATAGAGATATCAGTATACTAATATTATAATGTAGTCCACAATGAAAGAAAATTACGTAAAATCCTATCAGCTTAATTATTATGTCGTTTGACCATGAAGTCTTTTAACTGTTTGTTCTGATAAAAGTTTCCCTGCTTACCTGACTTAGTACTTGCATTTGAAAAAACGAGGAGTGAAGTAAAATACTGTTCAGCATAGCTATGCCTATAAATTCTCTTCCAAAGTCCTAATAAAATATACAAGGCAGCGAACATAACATTCAACTCTTGCAAATAGCACTGAAAACCAAAAAGTCCATCAAATGCCAAAGTCAGAGTAATTTCTAAAAATACCATGCCAGTGGAGAAACAGAGCTGAAGAACTATATGCTTCATTATTTATTGAGAAGTTAATACTGAATTGTACCACCCTGATTCATGTTGAAGTCCTAACCTCACTGCAACTGTATTTGGAGAAAGGGCCTTTAAGGATGTAATTAAGGTGAAATGAGGTCCTGTGTGGGGCCCTAATCTAATAGCACTGCGGTCCTTGTAAGAAGAGGAAGAGAGACCAGAGAGCTCTCTGTGGGTACATGGAGGAAAGGCCACATGAGGACTGGAGCCCACGGGATGAAAGAACTGCAGGCAGCCTCACCGGACCAGTGAGGGCTTCCCAGAGGTGTGATGTCCAAAGTGAATGCTGAAAGGCTAAAAGGATTTTTCAAGGTACAAACATAGAGATGTGTAAGAAGTGGATGGCATGTTTTTTGTTTCAAAAATGTTGTTTTCCAAAAGTTTATTTAAGCGTATGATGTATTTTAAAATTTTTAAGGGGCGAGGTTTAAGACAACTCGGGGGCAGGGGGATTTTTATTTTTTTGATCTGTGCGTTCTGGGGTGTTTTTGTTATGGCCAATGGACATTAATTGCTCCAGCTTCATTTGTTGAAAAGGTTATCCTTTCACCATGCAATTGCTTTTGCACCTTTGTAAAAAAAAGTTAAGCGTATTTTGTGAGTCTATTTCTGGAATCTCTACTCTTTCTTTGATGTATGTGTCTGTCTGCCCTTAGCCAGTACCACACTGTCTTGATTACTGTGGCACTATAGTAAGCCGCATCAGATGAGTGATTCTTCCCATTTTTTCTTGTTTGTCAACATTATTTAAGCTCGTCTAGAGCCTGTGTCTTTCAAGTTTTAAATTAAGTTTTGCTATTTCTATAAAAGCCTTACTGGTATTATTATAAGAATTGCATTAAACCTATAGATTAATTTGTTGAGAACTGACATTATATTGAGTCTTCTATTCCATGAACATGATTGTGTCTCTCCATTTATTTAGATTTTCATGATTGTTTTCATCAGCATTATATAATTTTAAACATCCAGTCTTGTATATGTTTCATTAAATGTAAATCTATTATAAGTATATAATTTTTTTGGAGTGACTGTAAATGGAATGTCTTTTTAGTTTTGATTTTCATGTTTATTGTTAATATACAAAATGTAACTGATTTTTGGGTGCCGATACTGTATCCTATGACTTTGCTGAACTCAATTATTAGTTCTAGGAATTTTTTTTTCCATTTCCCTGAGATTTTCTATGCAGAAATCATGTCATCGCAAATAAGACAGTTTTATTCATATTTCTGCCTTTCCATCTGCATGATTTTCTTTTTCTTACCTTATCAAAGTGGCTAGAACTTTCAGTGCTAGTTGGATAGCAGTAGAGCAGACATACTTGCTTTGTTTCCAGTCTTACAGGAAAAGCATTCGGCTTCACATTCGGTATGATGTGAGCTATAGGAACTTTGCAGATATTTTAATCAAAGTGAGGTAATATTTCTCTATTTCTAACTTGCTGAGAGTTCTTAATAATGAAGTGGTAGACTCTGCCAAATGCTTGTTCAATTGATATGAACTCTGCCAAATGCAGCATCAATTGATATGATTAAATAATTTTTCTTCTTTAATTTGATGTGATAAATTACTTTGATTTTGAATGCTGGACATGCTGTGCATAACTGAAATCAATTCCACCTGGTAACAGTATATGATGGCTTTTATACCTGACTGAATCCTATTGGTTAGTATCTTGCTGAGGGTTTCTACGCCTAAGTTCATGAGAGATATTGGTTCTTTTTTACTGTACTGTCTTTGTCAGGTTTTGTTTCAGGTTAAAACTGGCCTCATAAAATAAGTTGAGAAGTATTTCCCTCTCTTGTACTTGGGAAGACAGGTAAACTGGTGTTAATTCTTCATTAAATGTTTGGTAAAATTCTCCAGTAAAATCATCCGACCTAGAGATTTCTTTTGGGGATACTTTTAATTACAAAATCAGTTTCTGAAAGGATTATAGGATATTTAGATTATCTATTTCATTTTGGGTGAGTTTGGTTGAGTTTTATAATGTGTGGTTTTCACGGAATGGATCTATTTCATCTAAGTCGCCAAGTTTATCAACATAAAATTGGCTGTAGCATTTCCTTATTATCCCTTAAATGGCTGCAGGACCTGTAATAATATCCTTTTTCATTCCTAATATTGGTGATTTGTGTCTTTTTATTTTGCCAGTCTTACTACAGATTTATTGATTTTATTGATGTTTTCAAAGAA